ACTTTTTAATAAATAAGCTTTTGAGAATTTTTCAAAAATTTTCATTTTCAGAAGGCAAATTGCACTGGTCATTTCGAATAAAACAGCCAACAGCCAATAGGAAAAGTTTGTAATATAATAATTTAATCAAAATTTATTACCTTTAATATATTTATTCATTTTCACATTTTACTATGAATAAAAGAAAAAATGAAATAAATAAATAAATAAATAAATAAAAATGCAATCATTGAGATAATTTAACAGATACTATAAATTATTAAAAAAAAAAATACAAAAAAAAATGATAAAAGAAGAAGTGAAAACATTTCATTTTTAATTTTAATTTGATCTAAATTTACACTGAAAAAGAAAAATCGCATTTATACTTTTTTTTTTTCTATTATTTCAATTATTCAAATTTTATTTGAACATATCATTTTATCTTCTTTCTTCTAAATTTCTTATTGAGCGATATGATTTACCGAATATTTTAAATGTTTTAACCATCACTTCATTTCTACCTTTTATATTTAAATATTATCTTATTTTTATTTTTTATGTTTAATGTTATTTCATTTTTTTTTTTATTTGTTATATTTAAATATCATTTCATTTTTACTCATCATACTTAAAAATTATTCCATTTTTTTTTTTTTAATTTGTTAACGTCATTTATATTCTAAATTATTCTCATTAAATTTTTTTCTTTTCCAAATATAAGTGATGGTTTAAATTTCTAACTAATCTTTAAACTTGATTATAATTATTTAATTTTTAGTTAATTCTGAATTGAATTGAAGTGAAAACAAAATTTTGTTAGTAATAGTTAAAATTTTTGCTCTGAAAATTACCTGTTACATTAAATGTGTAATTGAATGACAACAGATAATTATAATCATTGCTAACAGCAACACTTACTTACTTATCGCGTCATGAGTTTAAATTTCAATTTAATCTTTAAACTTGTAAATTTCATCGGTCATTATGGAACTAAAACTTTGTGCATAATTCTATGGTCATCATATATAGATATTTTTATTCTTAAACTATAAATATTTATAAAAAATTAGCCAAATATAAAAGAAAAAAAAAATAATTAAAATTTTGAATATTTAATTATTTCATAAAAAATTATGCCTAATATTGCTAATTAAATAATATTATAAAATTATATATTTTTAAACATTTGATCTTAACTATTTTTTCAAATGAGAAATTCAAATTCTATTTATTCAAATTGCAGTTTGATTTTATAAAAGTAAGTTTTTTGTGAAATGCTAAATCAATTGTTAATTTAATTTCTGAATTAAAAAATTAAAATAAAGTTATTTAGCTTACCATTTTTTAATTTTCATATTGTTTTTGTGCTAAATTTGGTTCTATTGCAAAAAAGAAAAGTTTCATTTGTAAAATTTATTTCTATGCTAAAAAGCAAAAAAAAAAAAAAGGAAATTATATTTATTTATGAAATGCAAGGAAAGCAAAAAGTATTGTTTTTCGGTTTTCCGATTACTATGAATTGAAAAAAGCAGTAAATTAGATTATCTACGACTTAATGCTTACTTATAATTAGTTTTTTTTTTTTTTTTTTTTCCTTTATAATTTATTTTTTTTTTTTTTTTTGTATATTATCTATGCTGTTTACATATTATAATATTGATATTTAACTTTTATTTTAAAAAAAAAAAGAAAAATTTTCCAATTTATTTGTTTGTTTGTTTGTTTGTTTGTTTTTTGGCATTCTATTCAAAAACAATCATATTGTCAAATTAATTTAAAGTCTTAACAACAATTATGTCATAGAATTTTCATTATTTTCATATTTTTAATCACTTATAGTATTGTTAATTTTTTTGTTTATTTATTACAAAAATTGAATTAAATATGAAAATTTTTTATTATAAAATAAACAAAAACATAAATTTATGTGATAACTTATCTATTTACAGGTAAATTAATAAATTATCTATTTACAGGTAAAATGCATGCTGATAGTAAGCTATGTATAATGCTACTGATAATATCTGTTAGTTCGAGAAACTTGTTTAATGATAATCAAACTATTGTTGTTAGAGCTGGATCAGCTGCATATCCACGTTATTTACGAAGGAACTTAAATGGTCAGTTTTTTTTTTAAAAAAAAAAAAAAATATTTTTTGATTGTTTTTTTCATTTTTGATTTTTTACCTTTTTTTTTTTTGTTTAGATTAAAATTGAATTTAACAAATAACAAATGAATGAATGGTTTAATAATAAGTTTTTTTTTTTTTTATAAATTCTAATAAAAAATACTTCAAAATGCTTATATGTATGCTAAATCAATGAAAATGATAAAATTTTGTTGTGAAAAATAATAAATTAAGAAGAAATGATAACTTTTTACTAAAAAATTATTATCACAAATTATCATTTCAAAAGATTAATTATCATTAAACTTATCTTCAAGCATTGAAAGAGGAATATTTTGCAGGTTGTTCACCAGATGACATTATGTCACATTGTTTAAAGTCAAATGATCGTTACGATGAATGCACGCGAGAATTATGCAGTCGTTGCATTCTTCAGGCATCCGTATTAAATCCATTTGGTATTGTTTATGTAAACATATCAATTATTATTTATTTATTTGTTTTTCTTTTTAAACTCTTTAATTCTAATTCTTTTTTTCCTTCTATTTATAAATTTTTGGAAAGTTTAAATTTGATAATTTATCAATTAAGAATTTAAATGTTTACATTTTTACAAAAATATTTTTGTGAACTTTTTTTTTTTGTTTTTCAGCTGATTACTGTTACTGGATGATGTCTTGCCTTTGTACAGTAACCAGTTGTCAAGATTTATCACAATCTGAGTGTTATTGAAAAAAAAAAAAAAACAATAATCAATAATAAATATATGAAATTTTAAAAAGTTACAATATAAAAAAAAAACAAAACAGAAAAGAGTAATAATAAAAGTACTGAACACAAGTGTCACTTATATATGACAATTTTTCATCTTAATTGAACAAATATTTGATTACAAAATTTTTGTTTTATTAAACAATAAAAAACAATAAACGTTTGTTTTTTTGTCATCAATTATAGCATATAATTTAATTTTCTGAATTAAAAATAATAAACTGATAGAAAATTTGAATAGCTTTTCCAGTAGATTTACTTCTTATAATTTAAAATGTTTCTTTATTAATTATTAATTATGAAAATTACTTCAATTAGTTACTAAAAAACAGTTAATTTTATTGGAAAAGAAATTTAATTTTGACTTACCTGTAATTTCATCAAAGTTTTTATGCACAGATTTTAAATAGTAAACGATTGCAGTAAAAAATTTCTATTTAAAAAATAAGAACTTATTATAGATACATTAATTACTAAACACAGTGATTATTTTTTGTATTTACCTCAAAAACTCTTATTTTCTATGCATCTATGCTTTAATTTATCAAAAGTAAAAACAAAAAAAAAAATTGAATTTTATTTATCAATTTGCCATAAATATTTTCTAATTGTGTGACAATAATTAAAAGTATATTCAATTGTATGTCTCTAACGTTTTTTATCATCAAATGATTATAATTATTATCATTTTTACTTAACATTTACATCATAATTAATATAAAAGGTATGCTTAAAATTACACGTTTTATGTGACACCTGTCATTAATTCGAAATGATTAATAAGTGATTCTAAATTTAACAAAATATATACTGAAGAGTTGTTAACTAATAATTGGAAAAAATAACTGCTACTCTCTTTAGACTATCATTTATGGAAGAAATTTATTAAATTTTGCATTTTGCAAAAATGTTAACATACCTTCAACAATTTAAATCTAAATAATATTTGAAAAAAAAAATTTTTTTTAAATTCAATTATTTGAAGTTTTTCTTTTTTTTTCGATTCCAATTTTGCAATAAAAAAAAATAATTAAAACAAAAGACTAAATTCTATTTATTTATTTATTTTTCTTTGCATGAACAATTTTAGTGTGAAATTTCTAATTTTTGAATTTTTATACGAAAAAAAAAGAGAGAGAAAAAGAACAGAAAAGGAGAAAAGATAATGCACAAAGATCAAAAACTGAAATAAAACTTTAAATAGTTCGAGAAATTGATCAATGACAAACAATAGAAGTATCCCAAAACAGAATCAGTAATATTTGCATGAATATTCTAAAAGTATTACTAAAGATTAAAATGATAAGCAAATGAAACTAATTTTATAAATCGATCTCTTTGACATTTACATGAAAAAAAAAAAAATATATTGGTGACAACTAAGAACTTCCATAGCATAGAAATTAAATCTTTAGTCAAATAAATATTCCTGGATGTATATATTTACGCTAAAGTTAATTAAAATATAACTGTTTTATAAGATTTGAATTTATTTGAAATTGCAAACTAACAGCAATAAATGTCTACTGGTAATAGAATAAATTTAAATTTAACAAGATGAAAAAAATTAAAAAGAACCAAATTAATAACAAATAGAGAAACTAATTGAGTGATATTATATAAATTTTTTTTTCTTATCTTAATTAAACAGATTTATTGCAAAACTTTTGCTATATTTGCTCAGTTCTGTGGAATTTTTAACTTACTAATTTCTTTTGATTATTTAACTAATCTTTCTTTCATTTTTTTTTTTTGCTTACTAAATAATATTACTGATAGAGGTAAATGGTGAAAAATGTGTTTTTCTTTTTTATTTTTTACATTTTAATTGATTTACACATACAAATACTTTCTCGAATTTTGCATCGATTTATTACTTCTGAAGAATTCAATGATATTTCACTTATGGTAATACTTTATTTATTAAAATATAATCTCTCGAATAGGAATAAAACAATCCGACAGATTAACCAAGCAGTTAAATCTTTTTTTTTTTCATTTTAATATAATAACTTAAAGGTTTATCTTAACTTAAATGACTTTACTTATCACTTTATAATGAATTAATATTCAAATTATAAAATTTGAATGATATTTTAAAATTTGTTAGGGAATTTCTTAATATTTGTCACCATGTAATGATGCAAGAAATCTTTTAAGATGTAATTCACGAAGTTCCATTTCTTTTTGAAGCACTTGTTGACGTAATATTTCGCTTCGACGTTGCAACTCTTCCCAGACTTGTTGATACATTGGTGATATTGACAAAGCTGCCGGTGTTACCTGCTAATCAAATTATTTAAATTAATTAATGCAAAATTTTAAAATTAACAAATATTACATTCTTTGTTTTCTAAAAGTAAGGCAAAAAAATTTTTTTTTTTAGATCATATTTTAAAGTTACTGATTGTAGTGATAACGATCAAAATTTTCAGGAAACAATTAGACTTTCATTTTTTTTTTTTTTAAATTAACATTTGAAAGATTGGAAAATTGTACCATTGATGTAGAGGATGACGTCAAATTTGAAACGTTTATGCGTGATTCATTGCTATTTGATGCTGCTAATGTTGCTTCAGTGGTTTTCAGTTTTGAATCTGATAAAGGATAATGTTCAATGACAGCGACAGGAATTTGATTACGTCGTTTTGATTGTAACATCTCTGCTGATAATGAGGAAAGCACAGTGGATGATGGTTGACAAAGCGACGACGAATATTTGAATGAAGTTGACGGATTATTATCTGAGTAGAAGGAACGGCATGATCCTCTAATATATCTAGTATAAGGCTTGGCTTAACTTGGCCATTTTAATAAATGAATTAACAAAAATTTACTATAACTTTTGCATTAATATATTTTAATTGAATATTAGTGAATAATTATGTTTTCGATATTTTAAATGAAATTATTGAAATTATTTTTATGACCTAATTTTCTTTAAATTTTCAAATTAAATTATATTTATCATACCTGATAGTTCACTTGATTCTCCTTTTCGAATTTTTTTTAGCGGTAACGGTGCGATAACTATTTTAGCAGTACAACTGCTACTAGTATGTTTCTCGGGAGCAGTTGCTGATAAGGAATTGTTAGCTTGTTCCGATGAGGAATGACCTATTTGATTGTAAATTTTCAAAATTATTTTTAATTTAATTTAAAACTATTATTCGCCGTATCGTTATTATATTCATTTATTAAGTAAACTTAATATTATTTTGCTATTTTGAAGGTATCAGAATAAATTGATAAGCTGTATAAAATGTATTATTTCTTTAATTTTTTCTAAAATTATTTTTAATATAATTTTAAAATGATGCATGCATATTGTAACAAAGTTGTAACAAAATGTATGCAACAACGTAGCAAAACAATTTCTGTGATTATTTTAAGATTTTACAGAAAGAAAAAAAGAAAGAGTAATTTTACCTGTAGTGCAAAATGATTTGGAAGCATTTCCAGTCGATGATGATAGTGAAGAAACTGATAATGGATAGATGTTAGCATTTGTAGTGCAATGAGAATTTTTTGAATTGTTTGAATTACTTTTTGCTAAAAAAAAAAAAACCAATTTATGTGAAATTATGAAAAGATATGAAATTTGTATGTGATAAAATAACTTAGAAAAGTGATATGAATTTATTATATTTGAAGATCAAAGAAAAAAAGAATGATCAATTGATCGATCAATAGATCAATCATTTTGTTTCACTTTCAAACAAAATCAAATTAATCATTTATGCTAATTTTTCTTACCTGTTGAAAATGATAGCAAAAATTCGGTGGATTTTCTCTTCGTAGATGTAACATTTTCTTTGAATTTTTTCACATTTTCCATACTTATTACACGATAATTACATCGTACTCGTTTAAATGATATTTCATTTTCGATTACTGCCATACAATTAACCCAAATCCATTGATGTGATTTTGTTCGTAATCGATGTGATCTTATCTGATAAGTGCCAAGTTCCATTACTGAAATAAATAAATAAATAAACAAACAAACAAGAAATATATAATCAAACATTGTAACTGATAAATAATCACTTATTTCACATCCAGAAATATTTTTTTTTTTAATTTTAATTTTTACAATAAAATGAAATTACATTGTGTATGATTTTCAGCTACTTGTAATAAATCATTGGTGTGAATATAATCATAACCACTTGTGCCAAGTAAATCAAATCGACTATAACCTAATAATTGACTGAAAATAAACACTGATAATTTATTTACATATATCAAAATTTTCTTTTTTCGAGTAATAATTTTTATAGAGAAATCGTTTTTTCTTTTTTAAATTTTAATTTTAAGAAAACGAAATAGCATATTATTCTCAATGTTAGAGAGATTTCGTTTGTTTTTCGATGGTTTTTCTTTTTTTTTTAAAATGAAATATATCTCAACTTATTAATTCAGTCAAACTTTCCTAATTCAAATAAGTAATAATTATTGCCATTGAAATAAATTAAAATTCATTCAAATGTTACGGTTAAAAGTTTCACTTCTCTCTATGATAATACTGTCTTATCAGAAAGAGATAAAAAATTTTTAGAGATAAAAAATTACAGCTAAATTTCAATGGACTGTTAATTATAAACTAAATTACTGATAACTTTTACCATCCTTTAGCATCAACACAAACAAATTCGGTATTATAAAGTATAGTAAAATTGGCATTTCTTCGTTCCCATGAATTGATCATTTCCAGTGTTACTTCTGATTCTGGCCGATTTGATAACGGTATAATGACACCAACAAACCGGAGAGATTCATTCACTTCCTAATATTCAAATCTTTTAGGAAAAAATGATTAAAAAAATATCAAAATTGCTAGTTTATGAATTTTAAAATCAGATATATTTTGATTGGATGATGTAAATTATCAAAGAAAATGTGGAAAATTATGTGTATGAATTTTTTGTATGAAAAATAAGCCAAAAAAAAAGTTTAAAAAAACTTTAAAAATATAATATATTAGTTTCCTTATTTTATTTCTAACTGAAAAATTAAAAAATTGATGAAATATTTCACAAATAAAATGTAAACGTAATCATAAAAATTAAACTTTTCCATTTATTGAAACTACTTTATTAAAAAGTAGTTTTTATTAAAAACTATTTTTTGCATAATATGAATATAACTTCAATTTAATTTTCAATTTAATTCGTAATATTTTCATATTTATACAATATCAAATAAAATAAAACGTATTAATTAATTGAAAAAAAAAAGACTAAATTAAATTTTTTCATTGCTAAAGTAATGAAAGAATTTGTTTAAAGTTTTATTTAAAGTTTTCAAAAAAAAAAAAAAAAAACTTTGAAAAAGAAATTTTACAGTGATTGCAACAATCTTTTTTTTGCTCTTATTGATTTCACTTTCTTCAACTTTATCCGATATGCATAAATTATCGTTATTATGCGTTGTTTTTTTTACGTAACCAATGACTAATAATTGTCGACGCAATTTCTTCGTTGTGACAGTTTCCTGAATGATAGTACTGTGTATAGTGGTACCATTTGGTACCGAATGTAACACCTCGGTGGATATGGTTCCACAAAAGTTTTCTGCTGATTTGTCATCTAGTAAATCGAAGAAATTCGCTCCTTGTAATTCGCACATCTGAAAAATTCATTGCGTTTTTTTTTTTTTTCGACGGAAAACTAACATAATTAAAAAGTAATCCAATTATTTAAAGTTTTCAGAAAAAAAAACTTTTTTCCCTAATAAATTCGTAAATAAAGTTAAAGACTTTTCGACGAAATTCATTAAATAAATTTTGAAGTCAAAAAAATGAGCTAAGAATAAGATAAAGAATAATTAAATTTAAATGATCGGTACTAAAAAATTTTCTTTTTAATCTAATGATTTTGCTTATATATTGCATATCAATACGACATTAAGTTTTTGCAATACGTGTCAATGTATAGCTACGTGACACGTGTTATACGTGTAATGTAACTAGCACACAGTTACCATGGCTCTATACTAGCTAATCCATCATTTGTGTAATCTTTGAAGACGTAAATCTGACAGAATAAAATCTAACATTCATTCTTGGTTTTAAAATCTCTATTTACCATTTCTTAATTTAAAAAATACTAAGAAAATTGCAATCAAAATGCGGGAAAATATCTATGAATTTCACATACATATCAAACAGATCAAAGGTAACCTAAACATACCTGTAATTAATTGATTGCCATCTTGATAACACAGTGATTTATAGTGATAAGAAATGGATAATAACAAAGAAGCAAATGTGAGTATTAAAAATTATAAAAAGATGAAAAGTTAAGAAAGTGTGAAAATTTGTAATAGCAAACAAAATTTTTCTATTCACTGTTGGAAAAAAAAAGTAATTAACAAAAAAAAAAAAATCGATTAATCAATTAAGGCATAAAAATCTATTGGCCAACTAGTAAAAGAAGCAATTTGTAAATAAATGTTTAAAAAATTAGTAAGTATAAATAGCTAAACAGCTTTTTGAAAATAAGCATAAATAGTTTGTGTAAACAAATAAATATTGAGAATAACATTTTGTTGTATTAATTTTATGTAAAAATCAAACTGAAGGCAACAGAAAAAAAATAGTTTGGCAATTTTATTATTTTCATTGTTGAAAATTTTGCGAGAAAATTTTCTTCCTGTCAATTATCAGTTTCAGCTCAGTTTGTTTGTTTGTTTGTTTGTTTGTTTTCTTTTAACTTCTCAGTGTTATAATCTTTTCTGTTTATTTTAATCCTAAAAAATAAATGATTGAGTAAATATGAGAAAGAATGTTAAAAAAAAATTAAAAGTAATTTACTGTATCATCGAAAAGTGTTGCAAAACTTGTAGATGCATGCTCAATATGTCCGGAACAGTGAATGCAAAAAGTTCCAGCTGCCAGAGCATCCATATAAAGTTGAACAATATCCGGAATGTTGTAACCGGTTGTAATGCGTAATTTGGAATCCAATGCTGTACTTGATGCTTCATCACTTGTTGATTCAGCTTGAACTGCAATAATTATTTCAGTTTCGCTTTTCATACTTTAATATTTTAAGATTTATACTTAAATTCATTTTGTTAGCTAACAACTTTAAGCAATAGATTGAATAATTTTTGTGTGTTAGAATTGCTGATTTGAAATTTTTTTAAATTTCAATTTTTCAACATTTCATTTTTAATTAATGCAATTCTATGTCATCTACAGATGATAACTTAAATTATGAATATTTTTCTTTTAATGCATTAATCTTCTGATTAAATTAACCTAGTGATTATCTTCTTCGATCGATACTAATTCATTCTAACGTATTTAACGTATTCCTCAACGTGTAATCTTACGTAGTAATATTTTATTTCAATTAAATGCTATGACAATATAAGTGATACAATAAGATAGAATGAAATAACTAACAACGTTGTTGTTTGAGAAAATTAATTGCGCATTTTAGTACGCTACTTTTATCCATTTTACGATCGTCCTTTGCAACTAATAATGTTAATTCACCAATTAATTGATTGAAAGTATCTCTTCGTCGTTTTTCACTTTCATTTCGAGTTTTTCTACAAATTTCAAATTCTGAGAAGACAGACAATTTGTTTTTAAAGGTTTGAAATAAAAGAATTATCTAAAATTTATTCCGATCTTTTTTTTTTCTTAATTTTTCTTAAATCTTTAATTACACTAGAACCATATAGACTGCTTAATAATGATATTTCTGCAATTATTCAAAAATCTAATTAGCTTATATTAGAAGTCTCTTATCAAAAACTTAGGATATTATCTAATTCAAATAAACACTTTAATGAAAGAGAAAAGAACGCTGATTTTTCTTTTTTTTTTGACACTTTTTGCAAGGATATAAAATTTCATAGCTTTATTAGCATTGATTAATTGCTTAATTGGAAAAATTAGACGAGTATAATTAATTTTTCGTTCTTCTCATATTAATCTAAAACCTCAATTTTACTTCGAATAGTTTCCTGATGAAAAATTGCAAAAGAAATGAAGTAAATTAATAAATAAATTTATATTATACAAAATTTTAGAAACTAAATTTTCGGCTTGAAAATCAAATACAAACTATAAGTTTCGATAACTGATACAAGTAAAAATAAAAATTATGCACCTTTTCAAACCTTTTTCGGAAAATGTTGGAGTATTATCACTAAAACTGGAATTACTCTGTGCCATTCGTCATCGGAAATAATTTCTTATCACTTTACGATCTAAAATCAATTTAGAAAAGAAATGAAACAAAGACTAGTAAAATCATTTGAAAATGAAAAATTAAAAAAGTTCATTCAAAAAAAATAAACAGATTTAGTCACAATAAAAGTATTGCTATGGTTACTGGAATATAAGATAAGGTATCAAAGTAAAAACAAGCAAAGTATCAATGTAAAAATTCAATGTGTCATTCATATTTATAATGAAATTTCAAATTTTAAAAAAGAAATGATAAAATGCTAAATAAATTCACATGAATATATGCTACTAGAAAAAGAACAATAAAAATAAAATTTGGTTCAAAGATTGATCATAAAAATAAAATTATGTCTGAAAAGCTTTACTGCTTTAAAGATGAAAGATATTTGGATGATAGAATCAATAGACTGTCATCATCATGATCAAATAGCTTTCGTTGGGTAGCTTCTTTTACAAAAAAATTAAAAAAAAAAAAAAAAAAAAGAAAATTCTCAAGGTCAACAAGTTACGATTGATGATTAACCGGCGCACTTTGACATATACCGCATTCTGTCATTTCCTTTCCTTTCTTCCCTTTCTCCAACTTTCTTTCTTCAATCCTCTTTATGTTACATTATTTTCATTTATTTATTTATTTTTTTTTTTTTTTGTGGGAAAAAATTTTCTTTTTTAAAAAATTAAAAAATTTATTTTCAAAACGAAATCGAAAATGAAATCTTTAATTTTTTTTTTCTTTCTAAAAAATATTTGAGAAAATTATTTTATTCGTACACACACACACACACACACACATACACATAGGCGGTATTGGAGGTAATTGGGATGAAAAAAGGTAGAAAGTAAGCAATGAAGCGACAGCATCAGCAGTAATTGTTTGGAAGATTTTCAAGGTCAAAGTTAATACTTCCATCTGTTCCATATACTCTTTTTCAGTTTTTCCGTTTTTTTTTTTTTTTTTTTTTTTGTTTGAAAAAATGCAAAAAAAAAATGATTGAAATAATAATGGAATGAAGTAGAATAGAATAGAGTGAAATAGTAGTTTAATTTAAAAGAATAAATAAAATTTAAATTGAAATAAAATTTTTACAAATTGCTAAATATGTTATGCGATAAAGTAAAATAAACAAATAGGTATATAGGAAGGAAAATGTTTTAAGATAATTAATTATGCACAAAGGAATGTCATCCATGGTAATTAGTAATTAATACTATTAATGATTTATGAGCGTCCTACTAAGATGGCAAATGCAGTTGTAGAATTATTTCAAATAATTCAAAATTTTTAAAGGAATTTATCACTTCACTGTAAAATTTAACAATAATAATGAAAAATTAAAAAGTGCGGAAAAAAAAAATTAAAAATTGCTGAGGAAAATTCATCTTTTACGCTCAAATGAGAATTTGTGAAGTATTATAATTCGGTGATAAATTTAAACTGAAAGTATTTTTCTTTCTTAGAATTATAATGCTTTAAGATTATTCAAAATTAAAATATAATGAAAATAAATAAACTTAAATTAGTATCAAAGAATTATGTCTCACATAAATCAAATTTCTCTATAAGAACGACTGAAAATGTCATAAAATGTCATTCTCACAAACAGTTTTAGAATAAATCATATGTAAGTATCAGGAAATGTTTGAAAAATGTATGATCGATTGGTTATTGCACAAACCATGTTGCTATGAATTAATAATGGAAAATTAGGATTGATTTCAGTGAATTAAAATATGGAATTGAAATTTAATTTTAGTTCCAATTATTAGATCACATGTACTTTTTCAAGTGTACAATAAAATTGTGCAAATTGTCATATGAATAAGATAATTTATGGCGTACATGGATGACGTTAGATGAGACATTTCTGTAGAATATATTTATTCATTTAACGATAAATACTGGTTATATTAGTTCGAAAACTGAATTAGGAAATTATTTTAAAATTGAGCAAAAAAAAAAAAGAAAAAAACGAAAGCAGAAATTGGATCAGAAGATAACAATTATGTAAAGTTATTCTATAAATAGCAAATATATCAAATTCGGGTAAAGTGCTACTTTTTACCTTTACTATCGAACGGGCAATTGTTGTTTATGTGCATATTATTGAATCAGTTCATCTGTTAATTTTTTTTTGCTAAATTATAAAAATTTGCTAAGTTACAGCAAAATTGGAAATTTGTGATGTAAATTTGATCTTTGATCAAATTAATATAACCTAGTTTAATATACATTAATGAAAGCAGTGAAATTTCTCCAAATATTTAGTTATAACTAATAAGAGAAAATTGAAATCGTAGAATGAGATGTCTATTTAAATTAAAAATAAACGATAATATATCTTTATTTATTCACATGGCATTATCTTAATGAAACATTGAAAATTTCTTGACCTATTTCATTTAATTTGTATCTTACTCAAATTTAAAATGAGAACTAATTAAACCTAATTAAGATTAGGAAGATAGAAATTGAGTAGAAATTGATAATTGATCGATAAGGAAAGAAAGAAAAAATGTATATGAAGAAAGAAATCAAAACAAAATAAGTAATAATTAACAAATATAACATGTAAACAATAATTCATTTTATTCAATTTAATTAAAAATTGGAAGCGAAGATTTTCAAACGAATTCGCCTAATTATCAAATTGTTTTTTTCATAGTAAATTTCATATTCTGATTAATTCGGCGCTAAGCATATGTGCAATCCTAGATATCCCATTTTAATCTATAAGTTTGTTCAATTATATCTGAATTCCTTAATGTTTAACTTTCCAAATTATTTTGATGCTTGGTCGATTGTGCTATCTAAACTAATCAAAAACTTTTCGATATAAAATAAATCAATTTTAAAAACTCGAAAAGCTCTGCAAAAGGTATAAAGTTTAGGGCAGTTATAATTTGCATAGAAAAAAAAAAGTAGAAAATACGATTGTCATTCGAGAAAAGAAAAGAAACAATGCAATTCAGATTGTTGACCGAAAATTTTCCCACCATTTAACAGTTCACAGTAGTTTACGTCAAATAAATAGTTAGCTATTCCTTACTCCGATATTTTTCCCGGGATTTCCTATCATCGAGGACGAATTTATCCACCAAATAACAAATTGATCTATAAATTTCAAAATAGACTATCTCTTACAACGATAGTTGGAATACGGTATTTTGATTATTTTGGTCAAAGACTGAAAGTAACAGTGATAATATGACAATATAAGAGAGACAAGAGGTTAATAACATTTTGGTGAGAGGGCAGATTGTGTAATGTTGCAATTGGGAGAGGTGGTAGTGATTGAGAGAACATGAGAGATAGTATTGGCCAAGAGAGGTTGAGAAGTAGTAAGAGGTTGTCAGACAGTTGGTAGAGATATTCTATGTTACATTAATGATACGGAGAGTTATTTGACGTAGTTACACTGCTTACTTCCGTCGATTTCACGTCATGACGTTGCATGACGTGAAGGTAAGAAACGCTTCAATTACGTAAAAGTGATGGAGTACCAGCCAGTATGTTAGGGAGTGTTTATTTCTCGCTATTATTTATAATGGACGATCGTTTGTAAACGTCATAAATATCGACTAATGCTTATTTTTCAAAAAGGATTGTTAACTTTTTAGAGCGTAATTGTTATTAGATAGAAGTTTTATTACAAGTAGAAAAGTAAGTAATAAAAGATAGGATATAAACTTTTCTCCTCCTCTCCCCTCCCTCCTCCATATTCTTCCTTATCATTCTTATCTAATCATACTCGATTCATGCCCCGAAGTGTATTGTAATTTGATTTTATTTACGGTTTTTGTTTTTCAATGCTCATTTTCTATTAGTTTGATGGCACTTATTATAGCTATAAAAGACATCGATTTCAGTCATAAATCAATTATAGCTAACGGAAGAAAAAACGCGACATATGACTGACAGGGACTGGTTATCATCTGGAAAAGATGTAGCACTCGATGATGGAAATAATATCGATATCAGTGTTTTAGGACAAGAAAGGCTTCCCATGGAAATAATATCTGAAGATAGATCGCTGGAAAGGTTTGATTACTCTTGCTGGTAGTTTTTTCTTTTTTTTCATTTTATAAGAGTTAATAAAGTCATTTACAATTAAAATTAGCTATTGATATGATTGCTCTTTCGTCCTTTGACCTTTCAATATTTAGTAATGTTATTCCAATCTTGAGCATTTAATAATATTGTTCATTTATAGCTTGCCCAATTCTTCCGAGCCGTCAGATTTGCCGATACATCCAACAAAGTTAAATGTACTGTCGATCGCAATCGCAGAAAAAGATGATCCAAGGAAATTCCGAATTTATCGTTCTTTGAATTGTGAACCGCAAAGATCTACGATTTATTATCGGTGTGCAAAGTGCGAGTCACTCGAAAAAAAAGCCTTTGGTAGCTAGAAAATATATTCACTATAATAAATTGCAGTAAACGTTGAAAATTTTGAAATAATAGCCAAGTATTTTTAATGCAGAAATTTTTTTTTCTTACTAATTAATTGTTATTATTCATTTTCATGATTTTATTTCATTATGGATACTTGTCTTGTCTCCATAATATCAATTAAAGGTGGTGTCCGATCAAGGCGTTACAAACCGTATGTGAAAACACTGCACGGGAAACTAGTTGGAAATGCACATCCTGAGCATCATCCCGGCTGTCATGCAGTAACTAAAGAAATTCAAGAATTGCAAGAAATGGATCGTGCTTGCAGAGCTAAGATTAGAGCCAATTATGTGTCAAACAGGTCTCCACAAAAAGTCGTTAGTCATTTGAATCTGTTTGCTTGTTGTTCCAATATTGACTTTCAGCTAGAGATAGGATTAATGTTTGACGAAGAGAAGTTGTTTGAGAAAGAAAAATTTTCATGTTTAAAAATTCCATCTTTAGTCTATTCTGATTTTATTGTGTGCAAAGTTACGAGTGCATACAGCAACATTTTACCCTTGATGCATTCCATCGAAGTATGGAATTTTAAAATACATCTTATATTTCTTTTCACATGTCTTACACTTTATTTTTTTCTGAAAAAAAGTCCAGTTTAAGATTTGTTTATAATTTATTTGTTATTATTTAAATTTAGATTGAACATGCACTTGAGGGCAGCTCGAATATCGACATCCAATCAAATTACAATTTGCGCAGAAGACCAAAACGATTAAGTCTTAAACTCGATCCTCTGAGTCGTGACATAAATGAAAGTGAACTGTCAGAAATTGACTGTTTATTGAGGTAGGCTTTGAGGAAATGGTTCAAGTGAGTCCGCTGCTTTAAACATCCGGAATATTGGTTTTTCAATTATAAATTTGGAACAAAGTATAGCTTACTCGTGTGGTTGTTTGCTTTAGGTTTATAAGTGAGGCATGTGTCAACAATATCGCAGAAACGACAGATCATAGAAGGTAAATAATCATTTCAGTTTTGCAACATATATTTTGTTAGTTTTCTTTTGTTTATGCAAAATTCGAAACTTCCTGATTCTTTTTTTACCTAATTTTTTTCCCCAATTTCAGTATTCATTCTTTTGGTACTTCATCGTCAAAAAGTATTGGTTATTCCTCACTGATTGTACCGGAACCTGATGGAATATCAGTACGAATTTATGATGCGGATGATAAATTAGCTGATCAGGGAGTGACACATTATTACTGTTCCAGATGTGATGATTTATACCAAAAAGAAAATGACGGTATATGCTGAACTTTTCTGATTGATTTATGAAATTTTGTTTCTAAATTTTATCCAGTAAACTCCTCTCTCTGTCAATGTTCATGAAAAATCATCGTTTGAAAAAATTGGTTTAGCTTGTGTTGATCTTTCATAATTCTATAGTTTTCAGAATCTATCAGAACTATATTGAAAGCAGAAAATGATTTGGTGGTTGAATATCCAACACATCATGCAGAATGTTCACCATCAACACTGGAGTCACTGAGAGAACTGGGCGATGACTTGAAGAATTTCTGTGTCGTAGCAAATCGTAGGATTATTCCTCTAAAAGCAGTAATTGTCAGTATTGTGTTTTACTTATATATATAGTACATGCTTATGTACTATCAAAACTTAGGTTAAGGGCCTCATTTTAGGATAACCAATTTGTAACTATAACTTTAGAACTATAAGTAAAGCAAAGATTAGGAAACTTCACAATAGGAAAGATGGGTTTTATTCATATAGGGGTTATATAATATAGGTTATTTTTCATGACAATAATTTGAAATTGTTTAAGGCGTGAAAGTTTTTGATGTGCAGATATTGCTATCAAATTTCTGGCCCAGTATGAACTTCGCATATGGAACTTATTTCATCCATAAGATTTAAAAATTGTTTTCAGGAATCTGAATACAATATTTTTCATGAGCCGGATGAAAGCTTTCTCACTGGTGGGTCGAACGAACAGAATTGGGATACACCAGCTATGGATGAAGAAATGTTAGTATTAACAAATATTTATCAGTCATTCCCAGTACAGTTGAAATTCTTTTAAAAGTTTTATAAAGGACTGCTATCATACGGTTATGACACAATACCACATAATAACTTAATATCTTTATTTCAGTCTTATCAATCCTACATCAGTTCCGAAACTTCGGGAACAACGATGCTTTTGTAGACGTCTTTATGAAGAAAATATGGAATTATACCAGGAAATGTTGAGGAGTGTACATCAAATGAGATCACTGATCAACGAAATGAAACGTATTTCTGGCGCAAATGAGGAATACTATATCGAGGATGGGCAAGTTTTGGAGGAAAGTGATAGTAGCACGCTCTATGTTCGCTGACTAATATTTTTTTTATTAATAACTTGTACAAATTGTTTTGAAAGGAGAGCACTGTCAACTATTTTGCCTTGGCGCCAATTTTTCGATGGAAGTACTCTTGTGTCTAAGAACTTGGCACTAATTTGATATTCATTAATTTGATTGATTAGATTGTTATTACCAGTTTCCAAGAAAAAAAAAGAGGAAATTCATTATATTATTCATTTCTTTTCTAGAGAGAAAAAGTTGAAAAAGGGTAGTATTGTGTGAAGGAAATTACATGTTCTACTGATCCTTCTATATCACAATAGTTGCACAGTGATTTTTATTTGTCACTATATTGTATTTATCAATAATTTGACCGACAGGTGTTTTCAACATTGCTGATGATTAAATTTCTTGCATTGCTTGTGCTTCTTCCAATTTGATGAACATGTAATTTTGACGCTAATGAGTATATTAGATTGCTTCCGGTATCATTTTATCATATAATTCGTTCTTTTCATCACAGAAATCACTTTCTGGTTGTTGATTTCTATCACTTGTAGTTTAATTCGTGATGTGCTTATAAAGCTAACTTGATGACTTCTCCTTTTCCGATTTCTATAGCAATATCTGCTCTCATCGAATAGTATTTTTCGATGTCTTATTATCAATGAAGTATCAGTGAAGTAATCTTAACTTAATTTCTCACCTTGCTTAAAATTTTAGTCGATTCGATAAGCTCAGTTGAATGATAACTGTGAACCTCTATTAAATAGTGGCAGCTTTTTTGTTTAAATTTTCATTGCGCTTACTTTGATTTCTTTAAACAAAAGTGTAAAAAAATCTTTTTACCTTTAAGTCAGTTCGTCTTTGATTGATACCGTCCTGTTTGTCATTGTTTATTCCATTCTTTCTTCATATAGTTTTTTCTGATTCTTTGATTTTCAGCAATGGCACTTTTTGTAGATAATCTAGGCATGCATCGATTTTTCTCGAACATCCCATATCTTGCTTCGCGATAGGACAAGTTTGAATGGTCTATATGTTATGGATTTAATGAGAATTACTTTGATTATTTCACATATTGTAAGCAGTTCTATTTTACTATAAAGATTTTCAAGTGCATCCGTCATTTATTAATTTCACTATTCCTTGACTGTTTTCTATCATCTTTGTTAATTTTTTTTTCCTCTTCCTTTTGTAGTTGCGGTAAAATCTTTTGCAGGTATTTTGCGACTTATCTTTGATATTTGCATATGTTTCAAACTGTAATTTCAGTTTTCATTTTGTCATTAATTTACTGTTTTCATTGTTTTTGATCTGTTACAACTTCAATCCATTTCTTGCACTTCATTCAGGATCCTCCCTTTCATCAATGTAGTGCTTACTAATATCGCGAATGATATCTCAGCTCTTGGCACCAAAGTTGAAATACTAAATATGTAAAATAAGACATAAAATAAATTTGTTTAACGTGTTACAGTTTTTCATTAGTTTTTACAATTCATTAGTTTTTAATTTTAATCTCGTTTAGAAAAATATAATAAACAAATTGAACTATAATGAGAACTATTAGATTTTGAAATATGACCAATATTTCATGTATATCATTATCTAACATATTATTTTCATAAATTTTATTAATCCATTTACATTCCTAAATTTTGTTCTATTTATAACTGAATGGCAAAAAATCAAAAAATGAATGTATATGTATTAACATGCTGAAAATATGTTATGAGAAATTTTATGGTAAACATTTAGTGTGTTTTACAGTTAGCTAGTTAAATTTAATTGAACAATTACAATAGTTATGTTAATTGATTGAAATACATAATTAATTGATTCAGAAATAAGAAAAAGGTCATTGCCGTGATTTGCCATAATTTTTCATCTTTTTTAGCAAAATTTTGGAAGAAATTTTGATGTACTTAATGCAAACGTATTAAAGCTAATTTAAAATTGATAATTTAATTACACATCTAAGTTTGTCTCAGAATTACATTTTCAAGAAATTTCTTTTCGAGAAATTTGATATGAGAGAAATAGGCATGATAAATTCATCAAATAAAATAAATCACAAATGAATAATGCAATTTATAATTGCTTTTTTTTTTCTTTTTTTGTTTCAAATCTCAAAATAAAAATCTTTTTTTCAATATTATTTAGGAAAGACACATTGTTATTTTCTTTTTTAAATCAACAAACTTAAAGATTTATATTCACAAAAATATGAATAGCAGTCAGAAAAGAAAAATGAAACAATCTTTATAAAAAGAAAAAAAGTGTATTAAAGTACGTACATATAATTAAAAAACAATTTCCAGTAATTCTTAACAAACATAAATTTTCATATTTATTTTTCAAATTAATAAAAAATAAATGATAGTACTAATTTAGTGATTCATTGTATAATCATATGATTTTCATGAATATTGCAATCGTATTCAATATAATACAATGATTTATTATTTAATGCTTGTCGTAATTCATTAATAAATTATCATTTTGTATTTTTAAATTGATATTTTAACATTAAATTTTTGTGTTTATAAACATAACAAAAAGAAGAAAATATTTGTAACTGAAATTTATAATTGTAATGAGATGAAAATTAAGAAACAAAACCAAATATTGTTTGTTTACAATAATAATATATAAAGTTCCTAATATATTCGTTCTTTTTCTTTTTTTTTTTGCGATTTAAAAGCTTTCACTTATGAAACTATTAAAACTAAAATCCAATATATAACAAATAATTTTATAACAACATTTTAGGAATTAATCTCGAGATAAATTGCTAATTTTAAACTTAGACAATCCATTTTGAATTCAATATTTTTGAAAATTAATGCTAAAAAATGTTAAAAAATTAATGCTAAAAAATTTTCTCATAAATTAATTATATTTTCGATCTCAAGAAAGTCTTATATTCTACTTTCTTATACAGTTAGTTAGTCCATGCGCAATTTTTATATTTTTGTACCGAACAATTTAAAAATTTTCATCTTCGAATTACTTCGTTATTCATATTCTCTCTCTCTGTCCCTCTCTCTCTCTCTCTCTCTCTCTATTCATATATTATAAGAACAACCTTTAATAACAGGCAATGTTTGTAAATTCTGAATTAAATATTTATAACAAATTTTTGCTTAGTTATTCTACAGTTTCAATAAATTTAAATTTAAATGAACTCACCTTATGTTCTTAGAAAATTAAAAGTTGAAAAATCGGGAAATTTTTTAAAAAATTTTAAATTTAAAAGTATAAAGATTTTAAATTTAGAAAATTTTCCAATTTTGTAAGAATATCATGATAACATATTAGCTCATTTAAATTTAAATTGCATTAATAAATTTTATTTGTTGATGAGATCTCAATAAAATGATAATTATAATTTTGCTTATCAATTATTTATTTTTATTTAAAAAAATAAAATAGATAAATAAACAATCATTTTGTAGTTCATCTAATATCGTCAACAAAACGAGAGCTTTGAACTAAACAAGCAAAAAAGAAAAAAAGTGACAACTTAAGTTCTTTTTAATATGTTTGTTAAGTTTTATTAATATACTTCTTAAAACTTAACTCTCTTAAATTCTTATTAACTTTTTATCAATGTTATCACCTACCTCATTTCATCTTCTCATTCCAATGATCGCAGTAATTGAAACTGCAGTTTTAGTATCAACAATTATGCTAAGAATTACGAACCGTTGTCAGTAAGAGTTACTGATGGAATGTTCATAGCAATGTTATCAGCAAATGATATGATCTCTTACAGCTAAAATAGTTTACTGATAATTTCAAGAGGTAATCAATCTATTAAATACGACGAGTAGCATTTGTTAAAAACTTAACAAACAAAATAAACATGAAATTAATAAAGCATTAATAACTTATCGTTCATTAATTTTATTTCGATCAAATAATTTTAAAATAATTATGAATTTTAATCAAAGCAAAAAAACTTGAACATTCGAGAAAGTATGAAAGTTAGTACATTTTCTGTTATATATCACAAATTAATTAATGTGATAATGGGTTATCATATATGGCAATAATTAGAGCAAAGTAAACTTTGTCAGACCTCTCTCTCTCTCTCTCTCTCTCTCTCTCTCTCTCTCTTTGTTTTCATATCTTTCCTTAATTTCTATTTTCAATTTGACAGATCAAAAATCAATGAAGAATTTATTAAAAAATGAAAACCTAAAAAGTTGCTAAATAGAAAAAAACAACGAAAAAAAGAAGCGAAGAATATCATTTGAATACTAAATTGAAATTTGAAAGCTTCAAATATTCATTCTTTAATTTTTTCAAATATTTTATAACACAACCATATATATCAGATTGTAAACTATGCATAATTAAATTTTTTATAATTTTCTTTTTTTCACTTTAATTTCCATTTGCAAATCAAAGATAAATATTTTATACGTAAAATGATTTGATCACTATTAATTCAATTAAGCAATTTTCTTATTTTTAATAATAAATGTACACAATACGATGATTTAAAGTTTCAAAATCAATGAGTATTGTAGTAATTTTAATAATTAGAATGTTTATTCTATATAATTAAAACTATAATTTTATATAAATACCAAATAAAATCACAAATAATTAAAATAAAAAAAGTAGATATATTCTAAAAAATCAAAAATTATCAATCGATCTTGATATGAGGAAGGAAAATGCAATTAAAATAAAATTGGCTTAAGTGAAAGAAGCGAAGTAATTAAGATAGTTCTAAATTGGAGAGATAATTTGAAATTAAAAAAAAAAAATGCGGCAAACTGATTAGGAAAGAATTAATAAATAGTTTTCTAATAGAAATAATCAGAAAGCATACGGATAAGTTTGAAATTAAATTTAATTGCGATGATTTGCATTAACTGTCGAAAAAGTATTTTATGTTTGATAATCAGTAGTCACTCATATTGTTAAGATCAAAACTTTTTGTAAGCTTCTAGAATTCAGCTCTATTTTTCTTAGATCAATTATTTTCACTAAATTCTAATGATCAAAAAAAAATT